ATATAAAAATAAAAAAAATTCCCCACTCGCCCCCCACTTTGGGGCGGTCTTGTATGCCTTCCTTCAAGCTCGGGTCCTCTACCAAAGGCCTGGAAGCTTGAGGGTCCTGCACAGTATCTTAGCTGTTTCTAGCACTGCACTCTTCTGGACAGAGATCTCAGATGTTGTTCCTGGGATCTGTTGGAGCCACTGGGGGCTTGCTTTGACAAAACAATCAACTAAAGTAAATTAAACCATTGTTTATCGACTCAGATCTTTTTTTTCACTTAATGCTCCAGATAACACCACACCTGGAACTAACATCACTAAAAAATTCAAATTATTCAACTTATTGTTCATTTACTGTACATTAACGTTATTGTATTTCACTGTGTAACTTCTAAAGTGTGTTTGTTGTAAACTCTGGGCACTAGCATGTCACACAGCACATCAACAGCATTTTTTTTTGTACTGTAGCTTAAGCTTAGTTAACTCAAGTGCTACTCAGATTGTTTTTTTTGTTGTTGTTGTGAGAAATTACCAGCATTCATTGGTCATAAAAAGACACAGTCCCAAAGGCAACAATGCAAAATTACAGCAACTCTTACCAAAAGAGCGTCTCATTCTTCCTCTGTACTGAACTACCCTGTCTAGGCGGGATGGAAATTCAAAATACAAAGTCAGCAGATTTTCAGCCAAAGTTCAACCAGTTACTCTTTGCAATCTGTTTTTAGGTTAACCTTGTTAGAAACCTTTCAAATCACTGACTCCACACTCTTTTCTTGTGTCTATCTCTTCTACTCAGTGGTTTTCTCACTGTAACTTTCCACTGTTTTGCTCTCATTCCACATCTGGGAATTGCTTCCTGCAGTGCCGCTATTGCCCTGTGTTGGCCAACTGCAGAAATAACTACTGCACACTAGAAATAGACAAAACCAATTCATTCTCGTTGTGGGTGGGTTTTTTTTTCAGTGAGTTGCGTAGTGTTTAACACACAAATACTGTACACTCCGCATGCAAGTCTGTTTATGCCAATGAAATGCTGAATACAAACAGAGAGGTGATTTACAAAAGGAGTCAAATCTCCAGCTCCTTAAATGAAACTCATGGATTTTCACAAAACAAAAACGGAACTACTGTTGTTAAATCTGCAATAGATATCTACTTCCTGGCTTAATATAATGTTTTGCCAAGTTCACTGATTAATATAAGTCCCACTGCTCTGCTGACTGTTTAACTGTATCCCTCTATTGTCCTCTTTGAACCAGTTTGGAGTTTGGACAATTTCCATTCCACTGTTGACCTGTAGTTTTTCATTTATTGAGCAATATTGTCTATTTTTCCATGTCCTTTCTGTTACCTCCAGTCCCCTGTGCTCCTGCTAATCCTCAAATTAGTCACCAGTGCTCCAGCAATGTGGTCATCTTTGGGTGGCAGCCCACCAACAACACCGCTTATTATGTGGCCATGGGTGTGGATAAAAATGGTCAAGCGACAGAGTGCATGACGGAGGAAAACTCGTGTTACTTCACTAATACAGAATGTGGAAGCGGTTACACGTACACTGTATATGCTGTCAGCTCTACTCAATGTAACAGCGGTGTCACCCAGCCTGTGACTGTCTGGACGGGTGAGTAATTGTGTTTATTTATTTTAATAGGGCTAAAATACACTGTTTATTGTGATTTTTTTTATTCATTTTGATAAACATGGGAACTGTGGTTTATTTTAAGTTGATCCCACATACGCTGTCCTGCTGTTGTAAATACTGTACTTGCTAGAGCACCAAATGTGTATTAATCATCACTGAAAACTGTTCCCAACATTTAGTCCTGTTTCAGTAATGTTTGCTAAAATCTACAGTGCCTAGCTGTTTTAGAAAATTACTGAACCTTTCTTTTTTAATTTGAAACTTTGTCTTAGTTGCTTATTACATCATCAGTAGAAGAAATTGCCTTGGGACCGAGTGCCACAGAGAGGGTAGTAAAGTCAGACAATATCAGGAGACAGACTAATGAAAAACATAATAACGTGTTTAACCTCTGACTGATTGGTTTGAATTTACTGCTGCTGATGTTACAAAATGATAAAGAAAATATTACGTGCTCTGTATAATCACTACTATATATTAAATATAACCAATCGGGAGAATTTATAGTTTCTCTAGTGCTGATATATGTGTCCTCACATAACACTTAGTTGGTATAATTATGAAATCAAAAGCAGTTCAAGTAATGGGAAGAAAATCACTTTTAGTTTTTAATATACTATACATGGAATTAATGTGGAATCTGTCCAATTTCCGCTTGTGGGAAAACAAAAGAAGAGAGAGTGAGTAAGTCATTATTTTCCTTTTCCTCTACTCCAGCTCCTTGTCCATCACTAAATCTACAAGTAGCAACTGAGTGTATCTCTGACCAGCTCATCACAACCTGGGACTTGGCTCTTGGAGCTCTTTCCTACACTGTAGAAGCAGTGGGGATGACTGGAGAAACCTACAACTGCACCTCACCCAGCACAAGTTGTGTGATACCCAATGTGCCATGTGGTGAATACCTCAGTCTGTCGCTTGTTGCCTCTAATGATAACTGCTCCATTAGTGAAGTGATGGTAGTTACGACAGGTATGTACTGGGAGCTCTGTGGGACAACTGTGTGATGTTATGTATAGTTTCTAAAATGTAAAATATATATGCTTTGTGACTATTTAATGAGAAATTAAACACTAACCTTTCTCCCTCGCTCCAGTCCCCTGTGCCCCCACTGATGTCTCAGCATATGTCGACTGCAACAACAACAACTATGCTAGTGTCAACTGGACAGATGGCTATGGTGCCATCTTCTACACTGCTGTTGCTCATGATGAAGATGGAAATTTGTACAGTTGCAATTCAATGGGCAGTGCCTGCATTATCGAAGGCCTGAGAGGTGGACAGACTTACTTGGCAAATGTTATCAGCACTAATATTATGTGCAACAGTACTGTCAGCGAGGAGGTCATAGTAGGTAGGTAATAGCATTGGTTATATGATTTTTTTTATGGAGGAAGTGCTGGTTCTGTTGTCTCCTCTTAAGTGACTCTGCTGCAACAGTTTGAACAAAAACAGAACAGTATCACCTTTATGAAAGAGGGTTGATCATAGGACCACTGTATTAGCTTGGTGCAGTACTTATAGAGTTCTTCAGCACTACCTGTAATACTGCCTGCTGGTGAGAGGGTGTGCAGGCGAAACTAACAAGCACCACACTGTATGTTTACTGGAGTTCTGCTAGTACAAAATATTTCATGGTGTCAGAAATTTGCTAAGTTACTGTATTCAACTGTGGAAAATGAAGCACTGACTGTAAAGTGGGCTTTAGACATGTTGAAATACTACCTTATTGGTAAAGAGTTTGTTCGTGAGACTGACCATCATGCATTGCAGTGGATTCATAAAATGAAAGATACTAATGATAGAATAATTAGGTGGTATCTGTCTCTCCAGCCGTATTGTTTTCAGATTCAGTACACACCAGGACATAATATCTGTATAAACCTGATGATGTTTTTTTGAATCTGCCTCCTGCTATTTTTTAGCTGATTGGGTTTGATCTACCACACAGTGTCACTCAGTGAACTCACTGACAGTAACTGATGTTTTGTTCCTCTCTCCAGGACCATGTGCTCCCACAAAGTTTCAGTTTCAGACTTATTTGTTTTGTTTCTGTTAGTTCCATGTGATCAACAAAACATCACTAGCAACCTGACATGTGGCTCCAATATCTTAACGGTCAGCTGGATTTCTTCTGCCGTGGCTCTCAACTACCATGTCACTGCTGTGCCACTGGCTGGAAACATGGGTTCGCTAACCTGTGAAAGTAATAGTACCAACTGTAGTCTGAGTGGCCTTCAGTGTGGACAGACTTACAATGTTTCTTACATAGCTTGCTCTGAGAACTGCAGTGGACCAAGTACCCCACTACAGACTGTTCAAGCAGGTAATAAAGTTACTGATGAAAAAAGGATAACGTGTTTATTAAGAATATTTTGTTTGATTTATTTCATGGGTGTCTAAGTTAAGAGATTTCTGGTAAAAATGACCTAAAGTCTGGGTAAAGTAGAAATCATTGTGTTTTCTGAGTTTGTCACACCACGGGAAAATGTGCTATTAATCATCCAGACAAATTTGAAAGATTAAAAATATCAGCAAGTATTTAAAATTAGCATTCAAAATCATGAAAAAAATAATGAGTATTCTCTGCTCTGAAATGCTGGGGCGTATCAAGTGAAGACACTGTGTTGCCTATTCTCATCATGGATGTATTAAGGGAGAACATGTAGCAAAGGTGCATTTGCAGGGTGAAAGCACAAGCAAACAGGAGCGCTAGGGCTCTGCAGGAGCATTTGATCAGAAACCACTGATTGAGATGAGTGGATTGGAAAATGTGGTTTTGGTGGTATGGAGTGGGTTCTCCTCTGTGTTGGTGTTTGAATGACCCCCGGATGGTGTTCATCTCCTGCACAGACAGGGAGCAGACAGCTGCTTTCACCACAGTGGAGACAGGAAGCCCAGGAGAAGTGAAAGTCAAACTAAAGTTCACAATACCTATGTTCGTTACTGTACATGCAATAAAATCTTCGTGGGTAAAAAGCCAGTGGGAGTAATTAAAGTAAGCACCTGCTAAACAAGTATAGAATTGCAGAGCGAAAATAATTCAAGCTAGGAGCTTTTTAGGCTAATGGCTAACAGTGGTGTTTTGTCCAATGCAGCAGCTGCACGATCCACTGTATGGCCATTTTCTCCCTCACATCTCTTTCCTCCAACAACTACTGTTGGTTCAGATCTGCTCCACCACCTTCACTGTTCATGTGTTATTACTTTTGTCACTGTTTAATACTGTGGCAGTGGCATTAATGTTATTTCTTTTAAAAAAAACATAGCTGCGACTGTAAAATTCATCTGTGCTCGTAGTCTCATGAGTGACCTTAAAACAAATGTAAGCACATAAATCTGTGCGCTCTACTGTTTTAGAACATTAGAGTGTTGGGAAGGTGTTAGGTCAAAAGATGGCTCCAATGTGTCATCGAGCAATGAGTTCTGCCCGACCAGAAAAATCCTGAACTCAAAATTTATGAATAATTGTTTAATACTGTGGCAGTGGTAAAAACTCCACAGTTTTCATGTTTTCAAAAAATATTTTCTAATATTTATAATGTGCTTAGAAACAAGTCACTGTTTTTGCTTTACCCGCACTTTAAATGTAAATGTTTGTTCTTGTCAAATACTAATTAAAAATGAGTCCCTGGGAGGCAAACCTGTGGCTGGAGGCTACAGAAAGAAAGAAAAACATCACAGAAACTGAGCAGCACTGGCATCCATTAAGAATCTGACTGACACTGCAGAGACTGACAATTCTTATTGAGTTACTGCATAACAAGGATCCGACAGGCACAGAATAATTTATAGAGATAAGGTGAAACTATATTGTGTATCAGGTTTATCAGGGACATTGAGTGCATCATACAGCCAATATCTGCAGTCACACAGATGTGTGCTCATCTCATGTTTACTGTCAGTGAAACAATGAACAGCCACAGAATTGTTACAACTACTTTGAAAATAATTATTTTCAGCAATATCCAGACAGGTGAAGATAGACCCAGAGTTATGAAATTATTATAATACACTGTAATATTAACTACACCTGAACTTTTGTTACAATGTGTGCAAAGGAGTCCTTGATTATTTTTTCTTTTTTTGTAGATTTACATGTAATTGGCTCTAAAATGACCATTTACCCCAGGGCCCTGTTTAGATGTCACGAGTAGACACAACCTGTCAGCTATGGTGAAAACATGGATGAACAGTAGGTGTGAATTCAGATCTACCGTGTGTGTGAGGTGGAGAGACAGAGGAGAGGCCAAGCACTGGTCCTGCTCTTTTCTAAATGAGTAAACATACTGGCAGTGTGCATTTACACCGGGGGAAAGAAAGTGAACAGATGTGCAGTATATGTGTGAAATCTTCAGTGGGATTATAATATGCAAGATTAACAACAAACTAACTGTGTTTATGCCTCTCCCCTGCAGCTACGCCACCCAGACAAAGCCATAATAATAATAATAATCCCCAGCTGGAGAACAAACAACATCTGGGTGTGGAGAGAGGGAGAGGGAGCAAAGTCTCAGCAGGGCGGGCGGCAGATGGTGTCACTGCAGCAGCACTTCTCCAGGTACAGCATCATCACAGCAACAGCCAGGCAGAAGACACTGAAGTCTGCTGCATACTTTACTACATTCTGACCAATATGGAGTTGTAAGCGCCTACTAGGATAACACACCCAGTTCATACAGTTCTCACCAAACCGTTGCTGGTTGAGCTGCATTCTGGGTAATACAGGCCCCAGGTTTTGACAAAGAGGAAAAATCCACAGAATAAAACAAGAGTATATCTTTGGTTCTGCTGTATCAGGTTTGATTCTCTGTGAGCCTGAAAATGTGAGTAGAGGGATTAATCAAGTCAAGTCAAGATTTGTATTTGCCATTTATGCATAAACAGACAGTCTAGACATCTAGGAATTCTTGTGCAGCTCTTCTTTGGAGTCAGGTAAGGAGTCAAAAGCCAGAAAGAAAACTTGGTCCTAAAATAAAAAAGTTACACTGAAGCATCTTTTAAAATAGTTGATGATGATACATTGGCCAGTTTGTTTTACATGCTAAAACCAGTCAAACCTTCCATTGAATTCAATGGCAATGTGTGTCCAAACACTTGACTGCTAATGTAAACATATAACATTTGTTCATGTGAGTTTAAAGCTGTCTCATGTTGCTGAGGCCCTGTTAGTTTGCCAGCTGGGGTGATGACAGGCTTTTCTGTGAGGTGCGGCGTCTCAAAAAGTTTTCCCTTTATCACAGTAGCTTATATCTTGATAGATTAAAAACCAGTGGCCACAACTCAGTGGCAAACTGTCAAAGTGAGAAACAAACATGATGCATAGTGCACATCCATCAATGACCAAACACCAAATGTAATGAACTCCTGGACTTCTGTGGTGACATCCAGGAGTTTAATTTACTTGAGAAGCCGCTACATGTAGAGGTTGTCTACTCCATTTTATTGGACACTAAGCTTGATATGAAGTGTTAACCTTCTGCAGTGAGACACTACTACTGTGTACACTTATTGATTTCCCCTCCCAGCGTGCGATAAAGAAAAATAATAACCAAGCATTATGTCCAGCCAACTGTTAGGCTGCTGATGGCGCCTCATGATCAAAGTTCGATCCCATCTGCATATGCTCAGCGAGGTGTGAGATTAGGCCCCAGTGATTTGTGACTGTACGTTAATGCTCTCCTGCCATGCAGAAGATATCTGAACGGGCACAGCACAAGGGAGGTGGGCACACATTCGACACATTTGGCACCAGCTGCTATGTGACCAAAAAGCTTTCCAGAAGATGGTTATCGGGCTATTAACTAGTTTTTTGTGGTGTTCATCTCCTGCACAGACAGGGAGCAGACAGCTGCTTTCACCACAGTGGAGACAGGAAGCCCAGGAGAAGTGAAAGTCAAACTAAAGTTCACAATACCTATGTTCGTTACTGTACATGCAATAAAATCTTCGTGGGTAAAAAGCCAGTGGGAGTAATTAAAGTAAGCACCTGCTAAACAAGTATAGAATTGCAGAGCGAAAATAATTCAAGCTAGGAGCTTTTTAGGCTAATGGCTAACAGTGGTGTTTTGTCCAATGCAGCAGCTGCACGATCCACTGTATGGCCATTTTCTCCCTCACATCTCTTTCCTCCAACAACTACTGTTGGTTCAGATCTGCTCCACCACCTTCACTGTTCATGTGTTATTACTTTTGTCACTGTTTAATACTGTGGCAGTGGCATTAATGTTATTTCTTTTAAAAAAAACATAGCTGCGACTGTAAAATTCATCTGTGCTCGTAGTCTCATGAGTGACCTTAAAACAAATGTAAGCACATAAATCTGTGCGCTCTACTGTTTTAGAACATTAGAGTGTTGGGAAGGTGTTAGGTCAAAAGATGGCTCCAATGTGTCATCGAGCAATGAGTTCTGCCCGACCAGAAAAATCCTGAACTCAAAATTTATGAATAATTGTTTAATACTGTGGCAGTGGTAAAAACTCCACAGTTTTCATGTTTTCGAAAAATATGTTCCACTATTTATAATGTGCTTAGAAACAAGTCACTGTTTTTGCTTTACC